TCTGACCAATAAAATTTTAACAAGTGTAAACCTGAGGGCATTTCAATTTTTTCATATCAAAAGCCACAGCAATAATATACAATTCCATGCATTGCAATGGTAAATGCATTTAATTGTTTTAGATAAAAAAGATTTTCTGAAAGCACTGTAAATTGGCCAGTTTTGCGCCGTAACGAAAGAGTTAAAGGGCCAGTAAACAACCCCAAGGACCAGAAATTGGTGTAAAGAGAAATATGTGAATTCCTGAACTTGCTGCCGCAAGAATGTTGCGAATACACGCTATATTTAGAATTTACAGGGCCTAGAGCATCGCGTTCAGCTGGCTTCAAATTTTTGTGCAGCCTCACAACCCTTCTCTTTTAGATGGAGGGGAAAAGCGTGGCCCCTCGTCGTGACTCCGCCCACTTCAGCAATGTGACAAGACGTCAGCAACTGACATCATTGACGAACTCGATCAGTCACAACGCACTTACGCTTGCTGCGATGCCTGGTTGTTTACCATTTACCCAGGGCCAATGCTTCTCCACAGTGCAGTTGTTCGATATGCAGCAAAACTGCGTTCCAAAACCCCGACATGAAGTTGGCCCGATTTTTCGGGAGTTAGACTTTTTGGGAAAGGACTGTCGGTGCCATTTGGGAGCAGCAATACAAAACAAATAATGCGCTTGATAGTGAGTGTGCTGATCAACAGGTGGCACGACAATCTCTTCACTCCCCAAAACTGGGTCAGTGAAGTGTCTCGATTTCGATGCATGGAGCCTATGAGAAGTTTTGCAACTCCTATGATTGAATAGCTATGTCGTAGCTGTGGGTCGGAACAGGAACTGTCGTTGACTTCACTACTAGTTTGTCGAGACCTGGTTTAGACCAAATGACGAGCTGCCTGCTGCGTCACGCTGCTGATCACAGAGTTGTCACTGCACGTGCAAGAAGCATCAGTCAGGCGTAGAAAAGGTAGCGCTGAAATTGTTTTTTGAAATGGCGGCTGTGCGTGGCGCGCAGCTATGTAATATTCAGAAAACGTGATCTCTGCGGTCAACTGTACGAATTACCGAGCTTGTTTGGGGGGGTGTAAAAAAAAACCCGTCGGAGCCTATTGACTGGCCCTATGGGAGAAAAGTCGGAGGCCGAGAGGATTTATTGGATGACAGCGATGGAAAAGAAGCCGGCATTCAGTAACTACCAAAAGGGCTACAACAAAATAAGGCAGAAAAGGTTTTACGATAATTCAAGGGGAAGAGCTTTACTGTTCAGAAAGGTCGGGTTGCCTACGAATGCGTGGTTATAAAGCGAGATTCAGTAAAGAAGAACAATGTACATGCTCTGGGAGAGCTAAAGAAACGATGGAACATGTTCTGATTGAAGGCGGCGATATCCACCCAGGTATACACGTGGGTACAAGCCTACATGAGGCTTTGGGTTTTAGGCACAAACATAGAAAGCTGAACACGTCCGCGATAGGAACAAAGAACGGTTAGAGCATTAGTGGCAGAAAAGAAGAGATAAAGCATAGAAATAGTGAAAAAATGACGTTCGTCTGCTGAAGAGGCAGAGACGGAACATAAATTTATTTTTTCATTATAATAAGATCAATTTAATTGAAGTAGATAAGACATTAGGCCAACATAAGAATAGTGGAAAGTTTGCTTTTTTTTCTTGCAAGCCTAGTGGCACACATGACACCGCCCCGTTATAAAAGGGACGCTCATGGCATTCATCTCTCCATATGTAATGGCACTTGCACCTGCTTGCGCCAACCTGCAAAGACATAATCTCACGATTCTCCCGATATTGTGATAATCGTATTCTGCTATCGTTCGGTCAGCATGCGATGCCATTCGTTCTTCCAGACTGCTCTTATCAGGAAGCTACAGAGTCCATTCCTGGCGAACTCGGTGGAGCTCTTAGCAGCTAGCTAGAAAATATACATTTTCGGATACCACTATTCCGCAACATTTCGCAACATTTCAGAAATAGGTTATGCTTATGTGAGACTATTGAGGAAGAATCATAATGAATAACTGTCAGATTCACATTTAAGCTACGTATATGTCATGGAAATAAATACGTCCCTACGCAAAAGTAAGTGCGCTCAGTATAGCACTTCCTTATTATACCCAGATATATGTCGCAGAAATAAACAAGTCACGATATGCAAGTAAATACGCACAGTACACCTTATAAATAAAATAAACATAAATCTCGGCTATTTAGTTGACCCTGAATTTAGAGTTGCTACATTTTAATTATTCAATCGACGGCCAACGCTATGTTCACCACTATCAGTGCCAGTGTCCTGCTGTAATCAGACTTTTTTTTTTGCATGGCCACAACTTCGACTCGAATAAACAGTTTCATATTCGACCCGCAGTCTTCTCCATTTATCCACGTCACGACCTCGCGACATCTGGTGGAGGTGCTTTTTCGTTCATGTACCGGACGCCCCCGTAAAGCCGCGAACCAAGCCCTAGCCGGAAAGAAGACATCGACGCCAATGCTGAGCAACGAACAAGCCTCCGGCAACTGGGTCTCCCCCCAGAGCACGGGCCTCTACCCGTAAAGACCTGGCAAACCACGACCCCGACCTCAGACAGGGCGACGATGACCGCTCCAGTGCCACTTGGACCGATTTTGCTCCAGCAACCCAAGGCGCCACCAACGTTCCATGGTACATCCTTTGAAGACCCGAATCCTAGCTTGAGATATACAACCGTGTCGCTGCCTTTAACAACTGGAGCACCGAACGACAAGCTGCCACATGCCTACTTTTACCTAAAAGGCTCGGCAAAAACCTGGTTCGAAAACCGAGAGTCTTCACTCTAAACCTGAAAAGATTTCGGCAGCGCTTTCCTACACACTTTCATGAGTGTCGTCCGCAAAGAGAGAGCCGCTTCCCTGCTGGAAACGCGGGTGCAACTGCCAAATGCAAAAGTCGCCATCTTCACGGAAGAGATGACTGCTGCTATTCCACCTTGTTGACACTGACATGGCCGAAGACAAAAAAGTTCGGCTGCTTATGCGATGTGTTAGACAACAAAACAACCCTCCGCAGGACTCCTCTGCAACCCACTCACGACGGTCGCCGAGTTCCTCGCAGAAACTACAACTATATAAAAGGCGATTGGGATGCGGACAAGGCAGCTGCGACCGCTGCTCATCAACAACGCACTACGCCGACGTTCCAGCACACAGTGCCGAAGATCTGCACGAGACCATCCGCACGTTCGTGCGTGAAGAGTTGCGCAAGATGTTCAGGGAGTCACAGACATTGGAATTCCTGAACCAGCACAGTTTCATCCGGAGGCTATGAACTACGCTGCTGCAGTGCGTTGTAGCCCTCCCCCACCACGCCTACGTCAAGATGCCGCACCACCGCTGTTCCACCGCCAGACACTGCTGCCGCCACCACCACCAACACCATACCATTCCCCTTTGGGCTGGCGCAACGCATTGAGGAAGACAGATGTGTGGCATGCCCCCAATCTCTGCCCACTTTGCTACCACTGCGGTGAAGCCGGGCCTCAATGCACTGCCATCAATGCACTGCGTCCGCAGCCAGGGGAACGGCCACGTGACATCGCCGACTACCTGGCAAAAGCGCAATGAACACCACGAAGCCCTTCCCGTTCACCGTCGCCCAGCTGCCGCATGTCACCGCATTACCCGGCGGTACTCTGGCCCAACCCGGGGGCTGGTCTCCTAGCCCGTACCCAGCAAACTAAGGGCAGCAACCAATGGAGGTGCGGTTGCGGTGCGACGAACTACCGACGATCCTCCAACGCCGCCACCGCGACGGAACTTTATGAACACGACGCAAACGAGGCAAAGCACTGTGGACGAAACCCCACTTACGAAAGATCGCCTGACGACGCAACATGGAAACAGTGGAACAAGCCGATGCAGCCGTGACCTGACGCCACGACCTAACTTCAATGCGAGATGAACTAACGACCTCGAAGTACCTAGTGATGGCCAAAGTGCTGACAGCTCCAATTGACACCAGAGCCGACTATTCTGTCATCAGTGGAGCATTCGCCCCGCAGTTGAAGAAAGTCAAGCACGCCTGGGAAGGCCCCGAAATAAGGACAGCTGAAGGCCACCTAGTAATGCCGGAAGGAATCTGTACAGCGAGAGCCTGCATCGACAACCACATTTACCCTGCAAGCTTCGTAGCACTACAGCAGTGCTCGAGAGATGTGATCCTTGGTATGGACTTCCCAGGCCTTCGTGGTGCAATCATCGATCTCCAATCCAAGTCAATAATGCTATCAACAGAACAAGCCCTACCACCGCACATGCCGCCCGAAAATGTGGCCTTGAATGTACTGGAAGATCAAATCGCCATTCTCCCTCGCTCCAGGATCAATATATCTGTCGGCTCTCAGAAATAAACATGCCTGCAAGGCATCGTTGAAAGCGGCCAGCAGCTGTTAATGAACCGCGACATTTGCGTCGCAACAGGAATAGTCGAGCTGAGAGTCTGAAAAGCAATAGTGATGATCATGAACTTCAGCAACTGAATTCAAGCACGTGAGCAAAGGCACAACGGTTGCCCTAAAAACACATGACACGGAGCACTGTCTGTCAAGTGTGTTTTTTGGGTGGATGAGTGAGCGAATATATGAGTGTTTATGGCAAAAGAAGCTGGTCTAATTTTCTTACAATATGACACATATGCATCTACACAAGAGTAGATAATGTTTCATTGCACTGTGTGGTCCTTTGAAACATCAACACTTTCATGAACATTGCTCATGCACAATAGCAAAACCACAACTTCACTTTTGCTCTCCATATGTTTTCGGGGCATTATAACATGGGCGGCTAGTGTTTGCCATGGCGTAGGAGAACAATTTTAGAGTGGACTATGATCACGAGAATCTGCTCAACTCCACCACAGCCATGTTCGTACGACTGTACATGAAAGAATGCTCTAACTGGCCCTATTGGGAACTAACATGGGAACAGCTTTGTCGCTTTGGTAAGAAACAAACACTCACCGACAATGGGGCCAACTGAATCGCCGAGCTCCTTGAGCTTGGTGTAAAGCTGATCGTTGGTTAGGGAATGCACGGCCTGGGACACTTCCACGGGAAGGCTGGTGTCGTGGCTCTACACAGGGTGACATTACATGAGGTAAGTATTCAAGACCAAGGTATACCACGGTGAGAAGGGTGAAACATTGCAGAAGCCAATTTTAACATAGCCTGCAACTCTTATAACATAAAATAGCCTGGTAGCATTAAATGCAATGTCACTGCTGAATGAAAGTAGTTGCCGCTGGTGGTTTCTCAGGTCGAGATGTCGCCCTGTATTGTTAGAGCAATGGAAATGACCCAAGGCCAACTCGAATACAATACTACCACTGTCAATGCATTCTTCTACTGACATTACTGTCTTCCACGGACATTACTTGGATCTTTCCAACCTTAGTGTGTTCACTACAAGAACCTTCACCATGCAATGCTTGTGTTCTCCCATGTTACTCAAATTAAACGTAGTCCAGCCCTTGCTGCTGCCATGTTATACTCGTGAACTTGTTAATCTCATCTGGCCATGCAATGTTCTGCCCTTTCCCCCACTGCATGCTTGCCATATTATGAAATTCAGTTAGTTACTCTTAACCCTATAATGCCTCAATTTGGAAACTGCCTGAAACCACTTAACGAAAAAAAAATATCTTCTAGCTTTAAATAGCAATCATTAATTGATTCCGATGTTAAATTATCTACAATTCGACTTTAAAAGCACACAGCAGTTGCAAATTTGCAACATGCCACAGATGCAATAATCTTCAAGAAAAAAATGATTGATTTGTGGGGTTTAACGTCCCAAAACCACCATATGATTATGAGAGACGCCGTAGTGGAGGGCTCCGGAAATTTTGACCACCTGGGGTTCTTTAACGTGCACCCAAATCTGAGCACACGGGCCTCGACATTTCCGCCTCCATCGGAAATGCAGCCGCCGCAGCCGGGATTTGAACCCGCGACCTGCGGGTCAATCTTCAAGAAAAAAAAAAAAGCACTAGAGAACTCCATAACACGATGTGTTCCACCTCTCGAATGCGTTCACACAAAATTAAAAAAAAAAATGTAGAAGATTGAATTTGCATCATTAAGTCTGAAAAGAACGAGCAAGTGAGAGCTGTAGCACATGCTTCATGCCTTCTGCCATCAGCTACACAACACCTGGTTTTAGCGTACATTACCTTACACGAGACAGCGGTAACGCTTCATGCTCACCATGAGTACTGGACAGCTGGCATCAAAGATGGCACACATTTCCCAATTGCTTGCATGAAGTTTTTTGGCATGACGCAAATTCACAACACTCTACAGTGAAGGGCTAATGTGCGGCCAATACCGTGCTTATGCTACACGCCCTGCCCATTTCTTCCGACAAAAAATTTTGCACAGTGTTATTTTTGTTGTCGTTGCAAAAGGTAGCTTATGACCCACTTATCACAGCTTGAAACCTCACCTCATTTGCATAAGTACATGACGGGTATTTAGGAGACATTTTCAGACCACCCAGCTGCAGTTTCAGTTGCAAAAAGCACTGAGCTAAGTAGGAGCTGTCCCGGTGGCAAGGTAAACACAGCTGGCCACATTACCACGCAAAATTGTGATGTGGGTGCCACGCGCAACAGCGTGCGCCGCACTGGCAGCCAGCACATGCAAAGCTGTAGGCATACAAAAAGAAATCGCAAGTAGCGCAAATGCAAGGCGCGTGCCAGAAATTAGTCAACACTAACTCTAAACGTAGGTTTACATTGCCATCTTATTAATGTAAACACCACGAGGGGCTTTGCATTTCATTGTAGGCTATACATTCCCTTGGTGTTTTGTAGGTGTTCTGTATGCCTCCTCATCAATCTATCTCATTCATTATCTCGCTTCGAAATTTTCTGCCAGTGCTCCATAAATTTTGACAAAGATGTCCTTAACCCTTTATTACCTGGATTATAAAACTATTGAACAAAATAAAAACTATTCATTTTCCAGCTCTAGATAGCAACCTTTAAGTGATCCCGCAGTTAAGTTACATATATTGGCACTTTGCAGAATACTTTTGTGTATGTCACGAATTGTCCATATGCCACAGAAGCGAGGACCTTGCAACAAAAAACTTACTTTAGAACTATGTGACATGTGCGCCACCTCTTGGATGTGAACACACCAAATAAACAAAATTATTGAACATAGAATTTACCTCATGCAGGCGAGAAAGAATGAAGAAGTGAAAGCTGTTGCTCGTGCTTCACACTCTCTGCCATCAGTTACAAAACAATTGGTTCAAGCATAAGATACCTTAGACTGAGACGACACTAGATTTTTTATGCTGAAAGCTACATTCCCCGTGCATACTTGACAGCGGGCATTAAAGGCTTCAACCTGCTTGCTCAAAGTTTTTCGAAATGTCGCGAATTCGAGACCCTCGGCAGTAAAAGGTCAATGCTAGTTTGTTCCCTGACCCAATCCTTTCAATCGCTAGCTAAATCGTTGTCAATTTAAGTTGGAACCTTTTCATAAGCCTCCAGGTTTCTCTTACAAGGGCAAATACTAGAAATTATAGCTGCAGCATACCCTACTTTTGAGGGAGAGTGTTAAACATACCATTAACGACTTTAAATGTGCTCCACCCCATTTTATTTCTTCGGTAGGGCAGAATGCACAAAGTCTCGATATGTAAGGCACCAAGACCATCGTTGATACATTTTGAAAGTCTGTTCGTACACACCATTCATGCCTCGTCATTAACAAGGAGTTCCGGAGGTCTCTAGAACCGGCATCGGACCACGCATTCATTCATTCATTTTTATTTCTTTAAGGACCCCACTCGGGGGTATTACATAAGGGGTGGATACACAGGAAAAGAGAACATTTGATTGTAGGCTATACATTCCATTTGATTGTAGGCTATACACATTTTAGCATGTGGAGCGAAAGTGCGGACTTCAAAATGGCACACCCAATGCTAGTGCTCCTTGTGGGTGGCATCAAGTGCATACCACCTATATGAATCCACGTACAAGAAAGAGACAAGATAGTGGGGTTAGAGGGGACTTACCAAATGTGGCTTTGCCGTTGTGTTGCAACAAAGCAGTTTGGTATAGCATCTTTGAGTAATTTTTTAAATTACATATTGACAGGCGCTGCACAAACATATAGGGGTATACCCTTGACGTCGTCTGCGAGGATCACTAGCGTAGGGGGTCGGCGTTTCAGAAATAGGAGTCCCTGACGCACGCGCATAAAACACTGCACACGCTGGGTCGGATATCCGAACGGCTATTATCGTACACTCCGAAGCAGGGACAACAGCACGGAGCATACAAACGAACCTTCAAAATAGCACAAAAATGGTATTGCCCCTGCCGCGAGGAGTCGCCGTAGCGCCAGACGCTACGGCGACTGTATCTCGGATGGTGAATGCGCCTTGCGTTCCAGTGGGACATTCTGTTCCCCGACGGCCATCGAACGCGCTGTTCGCCACCCGCTAAGCCGGCGCGTCTGTTTTCCTTTAGTGGGCGCAAGTCCGCCAAATAAACGGATCTCCTTCTATTTCTACTAACCTCCCGGTCTCCTGTCTTCGGGCTACCCTCACTCTTACGTGACATCTGGTGGAGGTGCTGGGTATGCACAAAAACGACCTTAAAACAGGCACTGCAGAGAACGAGGACGCTGAAGACACAGATACTCGAAGCAGTCGCGGCCTCCGAAACCTGCCACCTGAGCTGGGACCGCTACCGGGCCCCACGCGACCACGAAAGGACGCTTCCACAGCCACCATGAGCACCCCGCAATCACCTACCCTTGTCATGCTGCAGCAGCCGCAGGTGCCCCCAACTTTCCATGGTTATGCCGCTGAAGACCCAGAAGAATGGCTCGACCAATTCGAGCGCGTGGCTACCATAAACAGGTGGGATGAAGAAATGAAGCTGCGATACGTTTACTTTTCCCTGGACGGTCCCGCCAAAACGTGGTATGAAAACCATGAGACCACACTGACCACCTGGGAATTTTTGAAGAACGAGTTGCTCAGCACCTTCACCAGCATCATGCGAAAAGAAAGGGCTCAGCTGCTGCTAGAATCGAGGACCCAACAGCCCAATGAGACCCTAAACGTGTACGTCGAAGAAATGAAACGTCTTCTTAGGCGAGTGGACCAAGACATGACCGAAGACAAAAAGGTCGGATACCTAATGCGAAGGGTGAAGGAGTCGCTTTTCGCCGGTTTCATAAGGAACCCTCCTAAAACAGTCGCCGAATTTACTGAAGAAGCGCACACCATAGAAAGGACCCTGGACGCCCGGACTCGGCAATACAACCGCCCGGACTCGGCAATACAACCGCCCGTTTCAGCTCAGCTCGCTCTACTCGGAACCGATTCGAGGTGGGCTAACCACCAACGATCTGCGGGAAGCTATTCGAGAAGTGGTTAAAGAAGAACTACGCCGATTGCTACCTCCTACCCCCCAGCCCCCCCAAGAAGCATCTCTCTTGGACATAGTGCGTGATGAAGTCCAGCAGGCGCTTGGCTCTTCATCAGCGACGACTCGAACAGAGGCCGAAGCAATGACTTACGCCGCTGCAGTGAACACTAGGCCACCCCGACGAAACGAGCCCAGTCCTCGACGGTACACTGCAGCCCCAAGTAGCCGTCCGCCCTTACCCGCCCACCCTACATACGAGAGATGCCCGAGCCAAAGAAAATGCGACACCTGGAGAACTCCCGACGACCGTCCCCTATGCTTTCACTGCGGTGAGACCGGCCACATTCTTCGACACTGCCCCTACAGGCGAATGGGACTGCATGGCTTCTCATCTCAGGCACCACGGCCACGCCCTGGACAACGACCTCCGGCAATCGAAGACTACTTGCGCCATACAGAGTACTTGTTCTCCATCACCGCCATCCCCATGCTTCACGTCACCGAACCGCAGCAACAACGAACGAAGAAGGTCCCCAAGCCCCCGTAGAGGAAACTAAAACCAGCAACCTTTGGAGGTAAGGTTGCTTCAAGAGGAAAAGCCGAAGACCCTCCACCGACGACCATATATGACGACAGCACATCATCTATGACGACGACAACGCACAACAACCCAAGCCGCGAGACGAAGCAAAACGAAGCAACAAGACGAAGCCGTGACCCGAACCCAAAACCAACGCGCAACTCCAGCCCACGTGCCACCGATGCAGATGAAGGCTCAGTGCATACTCCTTATACACTCTGATTTAAACCTATAGGGGGTGCTTTGAAAGCCGTGCGCAATGCCACTTGTGGTGTGGCGGATGCTCAACGTTGAGAATCTTATAGCAGACAGCAGCTCCTCACAACTTTGACAGCTATGGTGGCAAAAGTGCCCGTGGCCGGCGCATCGGTTCTTTGAGCAAGATTTCAGGATATCGTAGGGAGACATTCTTCTGCAATGCCACTATGAGTAAATAAGAAAACATGCATGAAATCAGCCACATTTTCCACGTTAGTAAGGGCCTTGCTGCCGGTCGTCAGTACTGATGGCAAATGCGTGTGTCAGGTGTCTGCAAAGCAAGGTGCTTGCTTCATAACTGTAGTGATAAGCAGTCATTTTTTCACACCTGAAATACTACTGGCACGCGCCCACTACCCGCGTACTTGCACAATACAGCATTTAGAAATATCGATGGCCCCACGGCCATTCACCGTAGAAATTATGACAAAAGGCTGGTGGCGTACTTGTTTGTTACAGGTCGTGCTACAGCAGTTTCCCGCCACAGAGTCTCGTGAATTGTTTTTCTTAGAATTGTTGTTGCATCATACTCGCTTTTAAGGATCATGGTCTTTGCCTCACCGCTCACGTAACTATGCTAAGGGCTTGAGGCACGAGCGAGAAAGAGCGTGCTACGATTTCGGCCCAAAAGAATGTCACAGCCCCGCTTTGTGTTTCACTTCACTTTGTAAAGTGGCGATCACTTCAGCCACGGTCACTTTGGCCACCGTGACCTCTCCCTCACAGCAACATGCTGCGTTGTTTATGTTGCTTTTAAAAATTCACATCCAGCTCTAGAGCATTGCAATAGCTTTGTTTTTCACCCGGTAGTTCTGCTGCTTTTCGTCCTGCATAATTTCTTCCTGACATTCACATTGTTTACCAATCAAAGAAAAAAACCTTTGTATCAACCACTCCGAAGAATGTGATTCAATTTATCACTTCCGGGGTTCTTTCCTTCGGGGCTACAACACTGTCTGAGCCAATAGAGCATTTGCAAGACGAATGCAACTTAATACGCAAAATGAAAGGAGTTGAATGCCAAGGTTATCTAAACCAAGCTTATTCTTCAATAACATTAGAGTTTTTTTTTTCATATATTAAGCTAATTTTTCAAAATTGTTATCTTGCTAAGCATTTTGAGATTATCAACAAATTATATCTTCAGACTTTAACTGTTTCAATTCCAAATGATCAGCCGATTTCAGTAGTCTATTCTCTGGCTAAGGATGGCACAGGTATTTCGTTGCAGCAAACATAAATGAGCCAGACATTCATGCTAGCGCTTAATTGCTCTGTGCAGACCAGCTGCCTGAGTGACAACACAACGACTACAAATGCATTACGTTTTGCAGCTACTTTACAGCAAAACTAGCTTAATTGAGGTTTACTTGGCCTGCTGGTAATAAGTTATGTTTGTCTGGTACTAAACATAGATTATTTGAAAGATGTATTCCACTACCATAGCGAAACAGCTTTTCTTACAACTTTTACCAACCAAAAGTATCCTAACATGACACTTCTGCATGGTACAGCAAGATGTGCAATGCTGCTCAAGGGTTATATTTTAGGTACAACGAAAGACGTCCTCACAATGCACGCCACTAGAACAGCTCCACTAAATGGAAGCAACAGAGGAAACAGTAGTAGCAGCGATTCACCCCGTTTCAACGTGCCCAAAGTTAATTTAAGCTGGTTTTCCCTGGCACATTGCTCTGACCAGTGGTGCAGACTAGCGACTGCATTGTAATGCACAAGTATTTCTGTTTATCATTATCGTCAGTGCCGAGTAAAACAAGCTCAAGCAACCTATTAATTGACAGTAGAGGAGCAGTACACGTATTGCGACAGACGATGCATCTGATGGGTCAGAATTGTCAGTAGCAGCTATGAGCAATGCAACAACGTGCCGCTCTAGTCAGCAAGGAGGAATGACCCCATCAAATAGACCTCAGCGTAGGGACAAAACGGCGAACTGAGCGAGTTGGCATCGTGCCATTGCCATTCCACCGACTTCCTACGCTCGCAGCGAAAGGGTCGACGCAGTGGGACGATGCTTAAAGCGGAAAACTCGCGCCACAGGCTGCGCACCATTTTCGAACGGGGCGCCAATGGCCGGCCGTCAAAGAGGCCGCCCATGCTGACAAGCAGTACTCGCCTTCGTGTCCGCTTCCTCGTCGCTCGAGAAGTCCAAGGGACCTCCGCGCGTGGTGTCCGAACGGGGCAAGTGCTCGCGGTAGCGCCGCACCAGGGTCTCCTCCGGGGAGCCGGGCGGCATCGGGACTCCTTTTTCTTGCAGTGCCTCACGGACACCCACCTTCGTCAGCGTGGCCATTTTTCTTGTTCTTGCTTCCCGAGTGAAGCCAAAGCTGTTTATAGTAAACGCACGAACAGCGGAGCACACTGCCACTAAGCCAAGACAGTCGGCCACACACACACGCCGAGCGTACGTGCGTGCTTCAGGGAGAAATGTCACTTTTTGTTGTTTGCTACATATATACAGAAACCAACCCTGCCCAGGTGGCGCGCCTGATGATGATGGTAATGAGGCCATTCCCTTTGTAACGGGCTGGCACACTTTGGCACCCTAGCCGATAGTAAGAAATACAAAGCAAATAAGAAAATAAAATACAGACTGGGCGGGTTGCCGAGTTAAGAACCCTCCCGCAGTCCCCGGAGAGTTATTTTCCTCCATTGTTCTAGGCGAGTTTTGCTGCGCCTCACTGAGGCGTAGTCCACCACATCACCTGTGTCCACAAAACCCAGTGCGGCTGTGAGATCTGTGTTCGAACTGGATGGGCTCAGTTGCGGGCACTCAGTCACGATGTGTGCGATGGTCTCGTCAGCCCCACCACACGCGCGACACATCCACACTCACGAGTTCACCGTCGTGCTTGCTTACGGACGAGAGTACGCAGGGCCCCTGCTCTCACCTCAAACACACTTCCAAGGCCATTGTCGTACAGTGGTACTAGAGTAATGGTGTCCTTGTGCTGGCGGTAGAGGAGGAGACTTGACTTGTTCACTTGTGCCTGCCTCCACTTCTCCTCCTCGGCCTCCTTAGTACGTTGGCGAATTTCCTTAGTGCGCCCCCGTTGATTTTCGGCCGCCAGTGGCGCCTGAAATAACCCAAAGTTTTTCTCAAGTTGGTACACTCGTCGTACCCACTTGGTGCGCATACATGTCGCCATGAGGTAGTCAAAAACTCGTCAAGACCACCTCTCGCGGGCCATGTACATCAGGCGGCAGTGAAACATCAGTTTGCTGGCTGCCTCACGCGCTTCGAAGCTCGACCAGCCGATGTCCCCCTGAACCACCTCGTTCGCCACCATGCCATGACAGCCCAGAGCGATACGCCCTACTTCCCGCTGTCGCCGCTCCAACCATTCCCGGGTGGCCGCTGACATAATCACGACTGTGTTCGCAAATATCAGCCCAGGCACGTGGACGAGCTTCCAAAGGTCACGTACCATTAAATACCGGTTGCAGCCCCACAAACAGCGGCGCCGGAGGATGCTCTGAGCCCGCAGTCCAGCTTCACTGCGTCTTCGCCTCATGTAGGCTGTACATGTCCGTTGATGCTGACAATTTTACACCCAGGTACCTGTATTCGGTGCAGCTGCTCACTTCGGCAACTCCCAGGGTCACAACACTCTCCTTGGTGCACTCCCCCACAAGTCTGAGAAAGGATGTCTTCTTAACGTTGAAGCAGAGCCCCAGGTGGGTGATTTCATCCTGGCAGATGTCCAGCAGTGCCTGCATTTCCTCGGTGCTTTCTGCCATGAGCACGATGTCGTCTGTGAACGTTAAGCCCGTTATACGACGCCTCTCGTCGATACCGCTGGTCGTGTGGTGGAGTCGAAAACCAAGGCTGGAGCTAAGGAGCTTCCTCTCGAGGCTTGAGACGTAAAGAATATACAGTAATGGTGAAAGTGGGCAACCCTGACACAGGCCTTTCACTACTAGAACGGGGTCTGACTGAACATCCCCGAAGTGTGCCACTACAGTGTTACCTCTGTACATACGTCTCACAGTCGAGACGAGGATCTCTGGAAGGCCCAAGTGGTTCATGCAATCAAACAATGCTGCCTGCGGGACACTATCGTATGCTTTCAGTACATCCAGAAAACAGCATAGCAGAGATCGCCCTTCAAGCTTCGCTATTTCGGCACACTGGGTCAGAGTGAAAATATTATCCTCCAATCTACGACCCGAACGAAACCCATTTTGTAGTTTTGTCAGCAAGTTCTTCGTCTCAGCCCAGCCACTTAGCCATTCCCTTAGGATACCGGCAAACATTCGGTACATCACGCTAGTGACCGTGATAGGGCGATAGCTCTGCAGCAGGTCCGCCGCGCCGCCTTGCTTTAGGATCAATGTTATCCGATCCTGACGCCAGTCCTTTCGGGATTTAAGCGCCAGAAAGGATGCTCGACAGCTGGTCTGCAAGCTTCTCCCTAGCCTGTGGGCGGAGGCACTTCACCAGGCGCGCTGGCACCTCGTCGGGCCCCGTTGCAGTTCGTGTGCTCATTCGCGCTAAGGCACGGATGACTGTCACACTGCTCACCGCCCAGCGCGGTTCCGCTTCCTCTTGCCTTTCGCCGAGGGCAGGGTGCAGTGTCGCGGCCGCGGAAGCATCGCTGTCGCCGTCATTTCCCGTCGAGCCAAACAGTCCACTGATGTATCGCGTCAGGTGCTGCCGCACATGTGCCACTGGCTGGTTGGTGTCAGCATCCCTCGATTGGGGCGAATTCTGTTGTCGCCTGTCCAGTGTTTGCACATATTGCCAGAACTTCTGGGCTGGGTTCTTGCCCTCTTTGCGCAGAGATTGAAATAGCTTCTTGTTGTACTCGGCAATTTTTGCCTGCACCAATGCCTGTACCTCGTGCTTCAGTTCAAAATATCTCTGCCAGGTGGCTGCGCATGCCTCTGTATCCGACGACTGCACCATCCTTCGATGCTACCTGTTTGCCTCTCGACGCCTTTTCCAGGCTTCCTCAACATCGCTATCTCACCACGGACTCTTTAACGCTCGTGTCGACCGTCTGTCTGGGAGCATATGTCGTTCCACCACCCGTCGCAGGGCCAACATGTACTCGTCATAAGTGGTAGCCTTTTGCATTTTGGCACAAGCCTCGAAGTCCTCAACGACAGCCTCGATGAAATGGTGTGGTAGGTACCGCTTGATCTTCTTTCCTCGCCTTCTTTCCTTCTTCCTGGCCTTCTTTCCTCGCCTAAATTCCTTCTTTCTTCGACTAAAATTCCTTCTTTCCTCGCCTGAAATTGACACTTTGCGCCACCTGACGAGCTGGCTAAGAAGCACACAGTAGTACAATTAGTCGCCGCGCGGCTTGAAGGAGCCAGTGGAGCAGTGGAAACTCGCTGAACAGCAGTGCGTTCTTGCTTTTGAGAATCGTCTTGTAGTTTGGCGTAGCAGGGGAGGCGCGATGCCGCCGGTACTTCGCTACGAATTTAGCAATGTTGTGTACACTGACGACTACTTCTGTGTGGCTGTGCTGTCAAAAGGACGGAAGCTCTGCACTGCAAAATACATCTTCGACGTCGAGGAGACTGTTTGTGGCACTAACAGCGGGTCAGAAGTGTCAGCAAAATGCCACTCTGTGTCGTCGTTTTGTTCTCGCGCTATAACTATCGTCATGCCATACCAACTAGCCCAAGCTGCCACACTTCTAAGCCACTCTCAAGTAAAGCAAGCCTCATACGACGTGAAGTTACAGGTAAGTTGATAGATTTCGCAAAGCTTGACGCAGCCTGCAGTGTAAATGCGTAGGCTGTTTCACACTTCCGAAAACTCGGAGCCCTAATGTGAAACAGCCTGCACTTGTAAGTGTTCGCTTTCAAATAAAGCCTCAGCATCACTGAGGTCGCCTACTGCTAAGTGGCAGCTGTTTTTAGCGAGGATATCACACTTAGTACGATGTTACCTAAGGTTCAGGGGCTGTTTGATTCCGCGCTTCTTTTTCACCTTGTTTTGAACAGTATGCACTCCCTAATTGCTTTTGTCAGCGTGCACGTGCAAGGCTGGCGTGTGTGGGACCTGCAAGCACGTTGCGGCTGGCTGTCGTGCTGAGGATAAATGACGCCGATTCACCGTCGTCAACAGATCGCCCGCAGGCATGGGGACGGCCGTCGACCAAGCCTGACACCTCGAAGAAAGAGCCCATCGAGGAACTTTTTGGAAGTAAGCATAACAAATATCTGTACCATGCGTTGCTGAGATGAAGTTTGTGTGATCATTGTTTTAATGTTTTACCCTAGCGTAACAAGACTGTACTCTCATCTCCCTACCTTACCACCGTCATTCATCACTCCATCACTCCCCTGTCCCCCTTCCCCAGTGTAAAGTAGCCAGAGCAAACTAGCTCAGGCCGACTCTCTACCTTTCTGCAAATAAATTCTCTCTCTAAATGTGGAAAGTCCAGTGTGATTTTTGCTAAGCTGTTACATACTTGTTTGTGTTTTTCACATGAATAACAGCTTAAAGTAAAAAAAATGTTGTTTTGCAGACCACCAGCCAACATACGTAGGGGGCAAGCGACCGCGAGAGCCGTATCCAGAATATGCTCTCAAGCACTTCCCAGATATAAAATGTGAACTGCACAAAACACTGAGGAGTCAACTCACAGGAGAAGTTGAAATTGTAGTCCATGACGTGGTGTCAGAGTTAGTGTCGCAGGCTGCTCTAAATGCAGACTTGTGCTTTGTGGAGCAGGTAGTGAAATGGGATGACAGTATGCCCCTGTACACAATGAAAGCCAAAAGCCACGTTCCTGCCACACGCGATGTTACTGACTGCATTGCTGCTGAGCTCAGTGATGATGAGCGTGAATACTTTTCCAAGAACATCACGTGCACCGAAGCTGAAGCTCGCATAATAGCTGCCGAGACAATGACTCAAGGGAACTGCAGTCGGTTTGTAACAAGGCTCTTTGAACAGCTGCTCCTAATATGCATGCACACATTTCTTATAAGATACACTATGCTGGCTTTGCACACTGTACTGCTAATACACTGTGCTGGCTTTGCAGATAGCACAAGGAGAGGGCTCTCAGAATGACAAGCTCCGTTGCCCACCGTGTCATTACCAGGAAGAAGTCGTTCGAGACACTTGCAGAGCAACTGCAGAGGTCAAAGACTCCTTGTGTACCTGCTATCTTGTATGGTGAGGCACTGTTATTTTATCACTAAATACACTAATCAATAAATATATGCATAAATAGTGCTAACACCAACTGCTGTCCTCGATATAACAGTCAATAATACAGACAACCTGGCATACGTCTGAGCATAGTTCTTTTTTTCACAAGGCCTCACTTAAGCTCAAGCTCGCCAAAATTCTGCTTAACCAGGCACACTGAGGCTAGCCCAGCCGTGTGCAATGAGTGTATGCGGTCTCCAGATGCTTTATCTCCCCACCTAATGCAGTGGCTGTGCCTCTTTTGGTTATCTCTCAGCCTGTCAGCACTAGCATAAATAAGACACA